GTATATGTGTGTGTGGAAGACGCTAGGGTGAGCCCACGAGCTCATATAATGTATAAGCCCAATGGCCTAGATTAGAAAAGGGCCGATCTAATGGCTGAGAGTGGTTGAATTTTAATATTTTTTCTACAAATCCAAATCACTTGAAATTTAGGTAAATATTTTTCTCATCAAGATGCTCTTAATAAAAATATAAAAAAAATAATTTATAAAATTAAAAATGACCAAAATACCCTAAAACATTTATGGGGGTATTTTGGTCATTATTATTCATGTAAAATATTTTTTAAATATTCACCTATTTTTTATCAACACACATCTAAAATTTTAAGTTAGTTGAACTTGTAAAAGAAAATTAAAATTCAAACAATATCGGGCATCCGTGATCGTTAGATCGGCTCAGATTCAATCTGGGCTATTAGGGTCATTTTTTCTTGTGAGCCCTTTGGCTCACAGAAGCCTTTCCTATATATATATATATATGAAAATCTTCCCAACGTCTATAGGCAAAAATGAACAGTGATTTGTCAACCCTCATCACCGTCCAAAGTTCATTGCAAGGTCACGATTGTCCAGTAGTGTTTCAAATTATTCCCAATGCTTATAAACAGTGATTTTGTCTACCCTCATCCCCGTCTAAAGTTCATTGATAAGGTCATGATTATTTAGTCGTGTTTCATATTTTTTTTTTCTATAAATAAGAATGATCTGAAATTTGAAAAGTGTGTACATCCTAGTGAGGCGCACCTAATAAAAATATAAAAATATTAATTCGTGCAAAGGAAATTGATCAAAATACCCTTACAAATTTTTAGGGGTATTTTGGTAAATTTATTTCATGCAAAATATTTTTTTAATATATTTTTCATAGATTCGTCTATTTTTTATGAACACACACTCCAAATTTCAGATCATTCCAATTTGTAGAAAAAAATTGAAAAATAAAACACTGCCTGACAATCATGATCGTGCGACGAACTTTGGACGGTGCTGAGGGTAGGCGAAATCACTGTTCATTTTTTCTTTATAGGCGTTTTGTAGTATCTTATATATATATATATATAATATGTTACGGTACACTGATTCGTGTACCGTTATAGTAAAAGCCGAACGACCCTGATCGAATCTGGGCCGATCTGATGATCACGGATGTCCCGTAGTGCTTTATTTTTCATTTTTTTTCTACGAAATAGAATGATCTGAAATTTTGAAGTATGTGTTCATAAAAAATAGGCGAATCTATAAAAAATATCAAAAACATATTTTACATAAACTAAATTGACCAAAATACATTTGAAAGGCTTCAGGGGTATTTTGATCAATATTGTTTTCACGAATTTCTTTTTTATATTTTTATTAGGTGCGCTCATTGAGATGTACACAGGCTCCAAATTTCAAATCATTCTAATATGTAGAAAAAAAATTAAAATTCAAACTCTCTCTGACACCGTGATCGTCCTATACAATGATCACAGATGTTTGATAGTATTTTATTTTTCATTTTTTTTCTACTAAACGGAATGATATGATATTTGGAGCATGTGTTCATAAAAAATAGGCGAATCTATGAAAAATATCAAAAACATATTTTACATGAAATAAATTGACCAAAATACATTTGAAAAGCTTCAGGGGGATTTTGATCAATATTGTTTTCACGAATTATTGTTTTATATTTTTATTAGGTGCGCCTCACTAAAATGTACACATGTTCCAAATTTCAGATCATTCCAGTATGTAGAAAAAAAATTAAAATTCAAACACTCTTGGACACCGTGATCGTCAGATCGGTGCAAATTCGATCTGGGTCGTTAGACGTTTACTGTAGCAATACGCACATGGGTGCGTACAGAATATATATAGATATATAAAGCATCTACACAATGCCTATGGGTGAAAATAAACAGTGTTTATATACATACATACGTACATCCATGCATACATACATACATGCATACATACATATGGAAGATATTACAAAACGCCTATAGGCGAAATTGAACAGCGATTTCTCCTACCCTCATCACCGTTCAAAGTTCATCATACTGTCATGATTGTCTAGTAGGGTTTCATTTTTCATTTTTTATATACAAATCATAATGATCAAAAATTTGGAAAGTGTGTTCATAAAAAATAG